AACCTAGTTCGTTGGTTCGACATGTTTAGGGCAACAGAAATGTGGAACAAACCGTAGAATGAGGTGGACATGTGATTCAAGACCTCATACTACTAAGAGAGGAATGTTCAGCTTGCAAGAAAAGAACAAAATTCAGCTCCAGGCTCTTCTTGGAAATAGGTAATGAAAATAATCTGAGTATGCCAAATTTTTCAAAAGCACTTTTCTTTCCTTTTATTTATTAACAGTGCAGCTGCTAATAATCTAGTTGCTTTGAATATTTCAGTAGATGTAGCAATAAATTGAAATGAAGATTCATGCACTTGAACATATGCCTATCATGTACCATTGTCATTAGCATTATATATATATGCTACGTATCGTACAATGAACAACCAACTCGTTTAAAAATTTCTATTCTCTAAAATATTTCATTTATTACTCTCTCCCTCAATTCGAGCCTCTTGGTTTGCACTCATTTGGGTTTGATTCTTGTAGAGGGAAAGTGAGATTAGACTGAATATACACGTCCCTTCTACATTCTTGATGTGCCTATGACATAGCACCTCGTGATAAGAGCTCCTTCTTCCCCGCTTTTAAAAACTCCGATTCATATTTATCATAGGACTTTCTACACAAAAATCAAAACAAATATAGAATCAATTTTTTTAACACTTAACCACTTTTATGTCATGGATTTCACTGTTCAAAAAACAAATCACATAGCAATTGTTTTTGAGATTTCTTTTTTAATTTTTGGTCAATAATTTGGTTTACTTACTCTTAAATAGGTGGCCAGACAGGACAAGTGGCACTGGCAATAAGATAAAAAACCAGTTGAAGAAGAGACTAACCAAAATAAGTCCTAATTTGGTGACTAATAAGCCATATACCAACAATGGTGGCTCCATTCGTTCTAAATCTGCCGTCAACCTTAGCCACATGGCTCAATAGGAGAGTACTTGGCTCGAAGCTGAAGCTCGGCTTGTCCATGAGTCCAAACTCTTGACATCCAACCCTTTCAATCTTCACCAGCTCAATAAAGCCACGGCTCAGTCACCGTCGCCGACAATCCTACTGCCGTGTCAAGACTGTTTCGCGCGGGTTAGTCGCTAACAATTAAAAGGGATCAGACGATTGTGTAAGGGACAAACCTCTTAAGACAAAGTCCCAAA